TTTAATCATCCAGATATTCTTTGGACTCATGGGTGCCATAATGGGTTGCGGTTTCGGGTTGATTATTTTAATCTTTGGTCAAGCAGGAGCCACGGCGTATGATAATATTTGTATTATTGAAAGCACATTAAATAAAGGTAAGCGAAGCGTACATTGTATATTTAGTATAAAAGCTATAATTCCATGTCTAATATATTCACGAAGTACGTGTAATATGCTAAATACAAACAAGAGTATGAATTTTAACGTTACAGGTAATTAGTTATAAATTCTAGTGATCGCGAGTTCATACCCCACTGACGAAGCTTAAATAGTAGCAATTTAGTACTCAAAAAAAATTATTTTTAACGACAAACATTACTAAAAATCGCTTAGTTAATTTAAAATTTAAAGAATTGATGCAGCGTATATTTAGTTATCCCGGGGAACCTTAAATGATTATGAATTACTTTTTGAACTTTTCACGTACTTGGCTGTCTTGTGCATGCGAACTTTTCCTATTCTATCTGTCATAATAGGTTTCACCGGAACTTATTTCGAACTGGATCCTTTCTTCTTCGTGTTTGTAGCCTTGTTACGGAGTGGACTGCTTAGAAATTATTCGTTTAAAATAGCGTTTGTTCGGTTTATTTTATCGACAACCTGCGTCTTTGAATTTTTCTGGATGGGATCTTTTGCGTACGTCGCGGTAACCGTATTAGGCGACTTTATTATTACAATCATAGGGCAACTTAAACAAGGAAAACTCTTCTTCGGACTAACCTTATATGTATTCGCCATGGGAAATGTGGTACTTCGATCTGTTCAGGGACTATGTGATCACGCAATTAGTTCGTTTCTTGCAGCGTTAATGGGAAGCACTATTATAAGTTTGTACCTATCCATTTCTGCTTACACGTTAATACCAGTTGCATTCTATTGGATGTTTCCTTGCATCGCGGTTTACTCTCTCTGCTTTCTACAAATCAATTTATTCCCTTTTATATACATGACTGAGGAGACGAGTGCGATCATTCACAAGTTAAAAATTACGCCGGGGGATATTCCGCAGTTTGAAGTTGGTAAGCCCTTCAATCCAAGGAAACTGATAAAATCTAGAATTAGGGCTATGCGGCCGTTCACATTTTACGCGGGTGCCTTTGATTACAGATTCCACAAGTTAGGGAAGTATACTAAAAGTGGTATTATTGAGAATATTTCTGATTTTACGATATCGGCGCTTTTGGCCTAACGGAATTAAAGTATACTTGCATATAACCGTTTTAAAATGCAAATTTTGTAAGTATATAACGTTAAAATATGCCGAAAAGAAACTGATTTAAACCCGGTGAACGTTGGCCACGTGTAAGGATAATAGAAATTCTGCAAAGCCCAGAACATATTTTGCATTAACATCTTTTGCGTGAATTGGTAATCCAGTTTCAGGGGTGGAATTGCATAAGATTGGCATTGTATCCTATACGAAATTATATTCTAAGTATAATTCCTATGAAATACAACTGTAAGTGTATGATTTGGTATTTTAAAATATATAATAACAATATACATAATAATTATTACGTCCGGAAAAATAAGGGTGGATTGATAAAAGGTATCTAACTAGGGATGCCTTTTCTATGATAGTTGAAAAATGAATTCTAATTCAACTTTTTGCATGCACCATGATATGTTTTGATGGCAAAGTGCAAAATTTTTTCTGCAAAACCAATTTGCTAATTTTTTAATAGCCTTCAAAGTTGGCGAAAATGGGGGCGTAATGGGGGGAGTGGGAGCGTATGGAGATGCCCCCTCCTATACACATATGCATCAAGTATACAAAACAATTTGTAGTTACCTCTATGAAAATTAATTGGTTGATTTAATATCATTCAATTGTCCGAATGAAAGTGGTTTCCGACGTAAAAATGATGAAAACACAGATTAATTGAGCAATGAGAACATTTTATGAAAGTCTCTCTGTCGCACATTTCCTCCTCGCAGTTGTCAAAACTTATTGAAAATAATGTTTCTGTCACATTCTTAAACTCCACTCGGTCTCTAGTATAATTGCAGGCAAACCAGGAGTATTTAAGCATTGCTACAAAAGCAACCGATTGAAACTGGTTGTTAATTAGCGATTGCATTTTAATAACATTTTGTCTTTTATGTAAATCTATCTGTATTGAATCAAGGGCGACTTTCTCAAAAATCCTTCGGCGAAATATTTTGTATTGTCTGAAAATGTATTTGTCCAAGGGTTGAATTAGGGATGTAGCCTTGGCAGGGATTTGAAATCTCGTGCATTCTTCCGGTGAGTCGTATGTAAATTCATCAACTTGTCCAGCCCATGAGTCGTAAATGAGCTTCATTGTTATCAACGTATGGGGCCACCCAGTCATCAATCCATTTTTTCATGATTCTTTTGTCTAGCTTTCCGGATTTCGATACGACCAAGTATATATTCGGTGGGACTTCAAGATAACTGTTGGACCCCAACATCCTTGTGGTTCTTGGAGGCAAATAAGCAATTTTCCTACAAATTTACCACTCATCGATAGTAGTGGCATCACCGTGTAGGAATGGGTGTTTGCATTATGTGAAACTAACAATCCGAGTGTATTTTTTTCTCCTTTGGTTGATAAAGTTCGCTTTGGTGAATATTCGTAAGTGAATCCTGACTGGTCAAAATTGAGGACAAAGTCAGGTTGAATACCAATTATTTTCTCATTGGTTGACATTGGTTTTGTTGGCATACTCGGCTTTGGTTAAATATTTGGTTATTTTACGGGACACAATTCTATGTTTAATCTTAAAATTATGAACCCAAGTTGAACTAGCCTTGATTATGGCAAAGATAATTCTTTAGATTTAATAATTCCCCAGCGTTTTAAATCTACTTCACCAATGTGTATTACAGATTCTCTTGCAAAATTAAATCTTTCGAGTACACAATCTTCCACATTTTTAACTTCTCCAGGTTGTTGTCATGCCGGTTGTTGCCATGCTGGTACGTCCTCATCCGAGCTATTGTTGCATAAGTTGAGATTTTCGGGAAAACCCGATACAATTGATACAATTTATTTGGCTTAACACTGTCGTAGAACTATACAATCTTTATCATCTCCTCGAGATTATAATTATTGCGTTCGATATTTTCAATCTCCCATTCCTGCGATGTCGATTCTTCGGAACTTGTGTCGGTTTGAGCAGCACCGTAAATGTAATTTCATCGTCACTGGCAATGTCCAATGCAACGAGCGTTTCACATCCACTGGTTGAAAAATTAAGTAAATTTTCGATTAAAATCAATCCTTCACTTGCTAAGTCGTTAAAATTTAAACCACTGTCAATTATAGGTACCCTAGCGGTGTTGTATCTTTGTTTTACTAATTCTAGTAATAATTCGCACACTTTAATAATTCTCGCCATATTTAAGTAATAATTGATAATATGCTTACTTAATTGAACAATTTTTAGAGAATTTTTAAGAAAAGTGAAAGAGGAGATGGCTAAAATAACAATAAGATTTAAGTATTTGGTGCGCAAACTGGGCAAACTGACCTTACCCCTTCGCACAATGCTATTAACATGCATCAATTTTTTTCATTCACTAAACTAAATTTTCTTACAATTAATTAAATTTAAAGTAAATATAAGTTACTAAATTTATCAAGCATAAGTTACTGATGGATTTCCTTGGGTCACATAGATCATAATGACCGTCATAGGTGGAGGGCACGACCGCCCCCATCTTCACACGTTCCGATTCCACCTATTCCTCCCCCACTTTCGCCAACTTTGGAGGCTGTAAAAAAATTTGCAAATTGGTTTTGCAGAAAAATTTTTGCACTTTGCCATGAAAACATCATGGTGCATGCAAAAAGTTAAATTAGAACTCATTTTTCAACTATCATAGAAAGGGTCTCCCTAGTAAGTGTTAGTTGTCTTCGTAAAGATAACAATTAAATAAATTGGCAATTCAAAAATTGAATATATGTATGTAATATGTGCATAATTAGTGTTGTAATTTACGGAGTTTTACAATAAAACTTTTATTCATCTCAAGAATCACTAAAATTAATTATCCTCATAAATGCTTTACAAATATTATGCGTGCAGTATTCAGCATGCCGAAATCTCCGTGTGACTCTGACCAGTCACAATATGTTTAAAATGTGCCTTCCAAGTTCAGATACCAATCAAGATAAGTAAACCTTGTGACAATTATTTGGAACATACGCAAAGTTTGACTGACTCATCCTCACTGCGTATTTAATTTGTTTCAACAACAGGTGCATACTTTTGAGGGTTTCATTATATATTTTGTCCACTCAAATCTTGGGCAATGAATCATCGTCGTGTCCAAGGACCGTGCATAAGGTATGACATCAATTTAAGTGGAATACATACATAAGTATGTATGACTTCGTACTTGACGGCGGGACACACGGTCCAGGAGCACGTCTTATAGTCGAATTAAAACGACACGTGATTTTTGATTCATGTACGCAGCACATATTATTTAGTGTGAACAACTAACTCGAGTAAGATTCGGCCCAGGATTTGCATCTCAAATTGGATCTGAATCATAAAAAATACGGATTTTAAAACCACCCACCCCTCCTTCACCATCCTAGTCAAGTTAAGCTAAACATGAGTAAGATACATAGGAGACCCAAAACTATCCACCCTCATTTTCATGACGGAATATATGTACGTTGCCTATCCGGATTTCGACAATTCGTCAACAATTTCGAATTCCACTACGGATTTGTGTAAATCCGATTCTGGCCAAATCCGGATACATGTTGGGCACTACGTAGTACCAACCAACCCCGTTAAACTTATAACATTCTTATCGCACGACCCCACACACGACACGAGGTTATCATGTACCTGAAACTGTGCGGTACACTGAATGGACTCGATTCAATCCGAGATTAGATAGAAACCCTTATACAATTTATTTTGCACACGGCGTCATTTTGCGGAATTGGAGGTGTATAAATTACACCGGTCTCGACTATTTGGTTCACAGTTAAATCGAGTCAACGAGTAAGTGATTAATTGAATTTTTTAAGAAAATGTTGCCAAAAACGAAGTTTCTGCTTGTCCTTGTGGCCGCCGTGATGCAGATTTGTACCGGCGCCTCGATTAAGCAGCGCATTTACGCGAACGAGGAAACCTTAGATGGCGAAGGGAGGTACGTCCTGCGATGGGATGTGGTCCAAGACACGATCGAGTTTCAAGTCGAGGCGGGAACTTTGGGTTTCGTCGGGTTTGGAATTTCCCCCTCGGGAACGATGACCGGAGCGGATATTTTTATTGCGGGGGTGAGACCAGATGGATCGACGTATGGGCAGGTAAATAAATTTTGCATGGAAAAGAACTGCGGTTCCCTGGGAATTCAGATTTTAGAAGAATAGATTTTTAATACTCAAAACTAATTACAAACATTATAGAATGTTTTTTTTAATTAATCCATAATTTAATTTTTTGTCAGGATTTCTATGCAACTGGTGAAACCACGCCGATCTTGGATACTCAGCAAGATTGGAGATTACTGGAAGCGTATGAATTAACTGCGGAAAATAAGACGATTTTAAAATTTTCGCGCCTCTTGAACACTTGTGATGAGCAGGATTTTGCAATCGGGGTAAGTCGAATCATTTTTAATTTTTTTTGTGACAAAGTCCAAAATCTTATATTATGTTCGAGCTACATATATAAATAGGGTTTATTAATATTAATATATCATGCATTGGTATGTATCAAGAATATACTTCAAAAAATGAAAAATTTTGACTTTTAAAAGTAATGAGTGAGGATTAGTTAAAATTAATCGTTAAAAATTTGCATTAATTTTCTTAGAATTATACCAGCCGAGTCATCTGGGCGCTCGGGGCCACAGATTCGATCGGCTATCACGGTGCGACGAACAGGGGGACCAAGAGTATGAATTTAATCCACGCCACGACCCCAGAATTGGATGTGTCCACCTTGCAAAATTACACAATTGCAGTAAACATAACGATGCCCACGATTGACACGGCGTACTGGTGCACGTTCCATAAGGGACCCACTTTGACGACCAAACACCATATCGTGGCGGTAAGGAGACATATTTCTTAAATAAGATAAGACGCTTTGTTTGTCACCAATAAGCCGAAGTTTCGTTTAAAAATTGCAAAATTTTATGATTTTGACCTATTAGTTCGACACCCTGCTACCCAGCCTAGAATCGTTCCAGCACACGCACCATTTTGTAGTTTACACGTGTAAAGCCCCAGGAAATCAGACGGACGAGGAGGCCTTTGATCGCTTCACGTATCAAAACGGGAACATCGGAGATCACTGTTTCACAACACAAGAACTCCCAATAGCACAGTGTCAATCGGTCATCTACACGTGGGCGAAGGGCGGGAAGGTGAGATATTTGTATTAGCGTCAAATTGGTCAATTAGCGGCATTCCTAGCCAGATTTAAGATAAGATGACGTCCAAATCAGCACATTTTTAGATACTTCGCTGGTCTAGGAATTTATTGTATAATTCTGGACGTCCAACTTGTACACGAGGTCGCAATATAAAAGAAGAACTATGCACTATGCACAGAAAAATTTGAACTTATCAAAACTGGCATAAAATGATCACTGCTATTCTATTAATTAACTCAGCTGGCTACAAATTCGTGGTCCAGAACTTTGAAATATTTTCCCCGAGCCGCGCAGTGATTAAAAGTGTGTTGATTTTGAAGGTTTTTATGAGACGATGAGTCATCGAAGTCCTTCCTTACGGATAATTTTGCACATTTGTTACTTGCAAATAATAACATTCTATTCTTAATGTTTTTTAGATGATGATCTTCCCAGAAGATGTCGGCTTCCCGATCGGAGAAACTCCCACCGCACAATATTACATGGTCGAAATTCACTACGATAATCCACAGCTGTTGGAGGGCGTCTTTTTCGAAACGGGGTTGGCCATGTATCACACGCCCAACCTGAGGCCTATCGATGCCGGAATTCTAGCTCTTGGGCAGTACGTGGACATTTCGCTTACCGTCCCGCCAAATCAGGACGCTTTCAAGGTTGTCGGCCATTGTAGTCCTCAGTGCACTCAGGAAGCGTTAGAACCCGAAGGGATAACTGTTTTCGCATCAATGCTACACTCACACAAATCTGGTAAGTAAAACGAATTGAGTGGGAAAGTTTGAAGGAACGATGGCATTTGAACTGCTTAGGTATGCACAATTTCCCTAACGAGGGATTAAAAATGAGTTATTTACCACGAGATTAAACGTTTTTTTATGCTGTGGATTAGGTATTAAAGATTAAATGTTGTGCCACATGCCAAACCTGACACGTGACACTTTTTCGTCACTCTGACGACGTCATCGTCACAGGTGACGTCCAAGTGCAAAATGACATGAATTTTCGAAATCCTCGTTGAAAAATAGTTAAAAATGTTGTGCCACATGCCAAAACTGACACGTGACACTTTTTCGTCACTTTTCGTCCCTGTGACGACGTCATCGTCACAGGTGACGATGTCAGAGTGTCCGTCTTCGTCCTGTCTCGTCCTGTCCCTTGACGTTAGGAGTTATCGTTCAAAATTTCAAGTTCTTATGTCGTTCCGTTCAAGAGTTATCGGACCAACGGACAGACAGACAAACAGACAGACGGACATAACGATCTTATAAAGGGCTTTCACTCCTTAATAATCCGGATTACCTTTTGTGATTAAAGACTATTTTAATTTATTCGATCTTCTAAACGCGTTCTGGACGCGAACAACTTAAACATGTATTTCTGTACACTGTGTTTTGTAAAACGTGTAATTTTTAGTAGTTTTTAACTTCCAAAATTGCGGGTTTTCTGACGTTTTAAAACTAATCCTGTCAACACTCTGATTTTTCCAGGCAGAAAAATGCGAACCCGTCATTTCCGAGGGAACGTTGAACTTCCCTGGATAGATTTCGATAACCAGTACGATTTCGACTTCCAACAGAATAAAATTCTTCTCGAGACTCGCCAAATCCTTCCCGGAGACCAGATGTCTTTCGAGTGTACGTACTCGTCTGTTTGGCGACGTGGAGATCCCGTAATCGGGGGACACTCAACGTACGAGGAAATGTGCCAAAACTTGCTCTGGTACTACCCCAGGGGCGGGTTGGGTTGCATGTCACGCTACGACGTGGACACCCATCTGGCCGATTTTGGTGTTGAAACGTATCACACGGTGCAGGAAGCCTCGTCACTCAGGTACATCATCGACACGCCGGTATCCATCGCTGGGGATTATTTTGACCTCGTCGCGACCAAGTTTAACTGGACGGAAGAATTTTTAAGGGCGTATCAGGAGGAAAGATTGAACGGGGACCAAATGTCGCACTGCGGGACACTAAGGCCTACCAGATATCCAGAAAGTTTTGTAGAGTATGTGCCAGTAGATGAGTGTGCTCTGAAAGAATGACGTGCCTTGCCAAGTAACGGACGATGTCATAATATGAATATAAAAAATCGTTTAATTCAATGACAAATAAACATGTCTATACACATAGTAAAATAAAATTGTGCAATAAAAATCAAGATTTTGAGTTAAAAATATATTCTGGCTATTTAACCAATTTTTCAATATCAAAAGTTATTTATTATAATGAATAACAACATTCGCGTTTCTAATGCATCAGTATAACTATATTTTGCGCGTGCTACAAAAGTGCTTCATTGATAAATCTTAAGAAATGGGTGAAGGTTCAAATTAATACGACAAATCCTAAAGTATATACACATGAATTAAATTGACACATTTTTACAAAAAATGACATTTGTGCACTTCTTTAAATCAATGTTTAGTTCTTGTAAAAATCTAACCTTATTAAGCTCCTTTTCGAATTATCGATGAGATTAACGGCATCTAAGTTTTTGGTGCTGTGGTCTAACCCATTAATCTGAATGACATTATTGCACTCGATGTCCAGCAAACCATGTCTTGCTCCACTTATGAAGGCATTGCGTAAATTAGCATTTTTAATTATGCACGATTCGCTGGACTTTGACAAATAAATGCATATCGGGCCGAATCGTTGGGCGAAAGCTTCCCAGTCAACACTCTGACGGAGTATGCTGCGTTCATGATTTTCCATCACTTTAGCAAGGATATTACAACATTTGAACGATTCTAAAATATTATTGTCCCCCCATATAGAAATCCCGAAGCCGGAATTGCCTACAGCTTCACCCATGTGCAAAGTTTCAATGTTAATCAATTGGTTTCCATCTCCATCAATATCCATCTGGTCACAAATTACATTACTGACAATACAATTATTACTTTGTATGCGTAAAGATTCTAATGCAAGATTTTTAATTTTACATGAATGTCCGCCAATTTCTAACCTCAAATGCTGAAGGCTTAAAGCATTAACCCCGTTAAACGTGACATGATCAACTTTAAAATAGTAAAACTTGCTTGCTTTGTCCTTAATGTTAATATTTACGATATAGCCTGGAACCAGGAAGTCTTGGATAGCAGAGAATTGCTTATGCGACTCTACAGTAATTTCGGATCTAAGAGCGCCCATTAACAATCTATCTTCACAGCCTTGAATTCTATCTTGAACGCGTCTTTTAGTAAGCTGAATAATGAGTTCTGCCCACCTTGGAAACCACCAGTCTGCCCCAATAACAAGATGATTTTGTGAATCATGCACCAGCCTGTGGAACATCGATCTCGTATCCTTCTGCTTAATTACCTGGAGAATTTCCCAAGATACTAAACCAAACGAGTACAAATCTGCAGGAATGCTGTAATCCGTAAAATTAGTTTCAGGAGCACGATAAGTCACACTGCCTACAAAAGGGGTTAGTGTTTCAGTGACAGTATATTCACTATGGACCCTTCGACATAAACCGAAATCTCCCACTTTAACCGGAAATTCGAACTCTTCCCCATTTGAAGAGAAGGAGAACATAATGTTTTCTGGACGGAAGTCACGATGTATGATTTTATTAAGGTGAAGGTACTTTAGACCATCATACATGTCCTTAACTATGTTCCGACGGACTGAACGCAAGTTTGGATTGTCAACCTCATTATTAATGTTTAACCAGTGACGCAACGTCTTGCCGCACAGCTCCATTTGGATGGATAATGTCGGGATTTGCTTTTTCTCCTCAGCTTGAAACAATCTGTAGCGAAGTGTTGCTCGAATGTCATCTCTATCTTGAATGCATGGAATGTCCAGCAAAGCTTGGATGTCTTCTACAGTGAACGGTTTGTGGGTTGATTTCAAGATTTCGACTAAATTGTCATGTTTCTTTCCAGCTATTAGTTTATATTCTCGGGAGAGTCGATGCTTCTCAGCTTCCTGCTCTTCCGGGGTTCTACCCGAGGTCTCAACGAATATTATTTTGACGGCGGAGACCTTTCCCCGTTCATTCACCTAAAATGTGTTTAGTAATTAAGTATTTATTAGGTGCTCGCAGAAAATAAACATTCACAATTTATATCCACAATTTTCAACAAACAAGTAAAAATACAATTTTCACGGTATCCAAAACCTTAAAATTAAAGAAAAACTTACCCCCTGGAAGACGTAGCCGAATGACCCAAATCCAAGAAAGGATTCCAACCTGCAATTGGTTGATTCTAATGGAACGTATGGGCCCAATTCCATTTTGAGATAAGAATTGAATCAGCTCACTAAACTTGTGCGAAGCTAGTTGAAAAATGACGAGAATCCGTACTGTAAACTGCACATTAACGTAGCATTGTAATCATAAACACGGTTTGTATTTAACTGGGGAGGCTGTGACGTTGACGGTGCCAGATTTTAATGCCCTTTTTTATATTTCGCATAACCGGAGGACTTTATTAAAACCTTCACATGGTGTAATTTCAATTTAATTTTGACAGACTCTGCATCATAAAATTAATCATACAATCTGAGAAATATCCCGCAATCCGTGATTGATGTTGACATGGACATATGTGGTCTCCTGCTAAGTAGGTAATTGATTTCAACCAGTTATGTAACTAACTTACGGCACTTTTATAATATATCAGACTGGGTGTTACTTAAGCTCAAATCGCGTCAATTTATAATTTGAATCTATTCGGTTAACTTCACAAATTCACAATGCAACAAGTATCCAAATGAAATCAAACTCTGCGATTGCATGATGCACAACCTCTCCTCAATTGATAAACGGATATGATAAACATATGATAAGCCATATGATAAACGGATTGATATAAGCTCTTCATTTTGTGATAGGTAGAGAACTCAACGAAGTTGCCCCAGTCGGTTTCACAAGTTGTATAAACTTTAATTTGGACATGTGGAAAAAATAGTGGACGAGATTATTATGTCCAATATGCGAACAATGCTACGTTTAGCAAAAGTATATGACATGGCTTCCGCAACACTCTACCATGTGACTAGCACCAAGAGATGGTGGTGGTCCTCTCCTTTACATATGCACCATTTACCTGATTTGATTGATCAAACATGCTGATAAAAATTACTTACATTTGTTTAAATTTTAAAAATTATATTTTAGATAAAAAAAGCGTGTTGTTACATACGTGCTTGTCCCCTCAAGTTATGTACCAGTATTGACTAAAAGCCATATGGGGGTTTTATCGGAGAATGCATACCCCGGTGGTACGACCAGGACTGGAACTCTGATCCGCATATTTGCAAAGAATATAAATATGTAAATATGTATGTAAACATAAATGATGGTGATGGTGGTCCCATATAAAATGATCATGTAATAGCCATACCACGGCTACATATTTTTTTATAAAGCCCGAAGTATTTATTTTATATTTTTGAAAAAAAAGCCAAAATATTTTTAAAAATACATTTTTATTCGAACGTCAAAAGACTCGAGTTTCAGCTGAAATTCATCACTTCGTACACATATTAGGCCGAGACAATTAGATTTTAACTACAAACATCATCATGCATGATGCAAAAGCGCAAAATTAGAAACAAGTTCATTTTAAGACTTGTTTTCCGCATTGGCTCAAAACACATCTGTATTTTCAAAATACTTTGATTATTATGTATTTAAATACAAAATACAAAAATACGAATTTTGTATTTTCAAAATACATGTATTTTGACCATCCCTAGTTGTGGAGAGTGGAGCTCTATGCTCTATGTCCGTATAAAAAGTGTAGAAGAATTCGACTCCATGGGGTCAATGTGTCCGCCACACCCACTGGAAGGAGTGCCAGCTGCGAAAATTACCGCACTAAAATCATCGCCAAAATTCGAGTTTTGCTCAGATTCTGAAAATATTTTCATTTTTGTGACCTCAGATAGTTGCTCTATCAGATCCAATAGCAAACTAAGCTTTTTCAAATTCCGAATTTTTTCGATGCGAGTCCGAGAATTTTGAAAAATATCAAAAATTTCAAAAAAGCTGAGTTTGATATTGGATCTGATATAGCAACTATCTGAGGTCACAAAAATGAAAATATTTTCAAAATCTGAGCAAAACTCAATTTTTGGCGATGATTAAAGTGCGACAATTTTCGCAGCATTCACGCCATTGAGTGGGTTTATCGGACACAATTGGCCCCATGGGGTCGAATCCTTCTACACTTTTCTATGGTCATAGACCCCCACAACCACTGCGAGTCGTAGGCTGCGACCTTCTAATTGTCGCTTCAGGTTGAAACCTTCAACCGATGTTATTGTATTGTTATTGCATTTCCTGTCGTTCTTTAATTTATGTACATATATCACATTTGTGTACTGTCATGAAAATAAGAAATTACGAAAAAGTAAAAAAAAATATTAAAAATGCAAACAAACGCATCAATAAATCAAAAAAAAAATATTACAAAACCCAAAATATGATTATATTTTCTTAAAAAATGGCGAAATATTGACAAATATATTTATATGTACAAGAAGTCCAAAATATTAAAAAAAAAATGAAAACATTTTTTAATTTTTGATAACCACAAGTGTTGATAAACAACCCTACAAAGTTTGGGAGTCGACGTGTTAGAAATGAAAAAGTAATAAACAAATAAATAACCGGCGTATGGTAATAGCTTGTCCAATCACTGGTTGGGATTAGTTTTATTAAATGAGCAAAATAAATACATATGTGTATGTATAAACACGCAATTACACTCTAAAAACGCCCGTCGGTAATTTAGTGCGGACGTATCAAAAATGCCACCCTTGCACTTGCGGCAAGTGGGATTGTACTTTGGTTAAGTACGGATGGCTCGGGGTGGCATTTTTGATACGTCCGCACTAAATTACCGACGGGCGTTTTTAGAGTGTATGAAGTGTCCACATATTGTAAGTGTCAGGACGTTTAGGCATGTAAAAACTGAATTCACGAATCAAATCTAATGAAATTTTTATGCAATATTAATGATGAACATACCGAAGTTTTTCAATGCTTCAGTAGTTCAAATATATCATCCCTACCTTTGGAGCGAAGACTTTGTCGCACACCTCTCATGAGCGCTTTGCCACTCGTTTCCCCAAAGTCTATTACAAATTTTTCCATAATTCTTCCGATTTTGTTTATGTCAATTTTTTCCAAGAGTATTGTTTATTAATTTATGGCAAAAATCTTTCAACGTGTCAACGTGTGAGGTTCGTTTGAAGCGTTGTCTTTCTTCTCGACAAAATCAACTGTTTCCCCTCGAAGGTACCCTTTCACTATTTTGGCATTCCAGCACGTATCTATCTCCGGCCAAAATGAAGCATGTTCTTTCCGGGGATCAGTCCTTTGAACAAGCAATCATTCAAATAAAGCCAACATTTCATATTCTTGGTGGAAGCGAATGAATTTGAGAAGCTCTCATTTTTGTCCATTGCCAGCCATTTTATGTATTTCATTGGAAATTTTATTTGGCTTTATATTTAGTAGTAGTAGTAGTTTATTCATTCATAGATTGATATGGCGGCGGCCTTTACAATCATGTATTATATAAAATAAATTACATAGGTTTAATATTTAAATCTCGAACAAACGTAATTTTTACATAATTCTTCTACATGAGTAGAACTTTACGTCATGGACGCCCCCAGGTCAACGGGTAAGTAGTTTGCATTATCCACGACGAGAAAATTCTGGAAGTCGATTTCAACATTTTCACAAAAAGTTTTGGAAAATCTGTTTTAGCTCCAGCTTTTTCATCTTCACTGAATTTTGGCGCGGTTTAAAAGTTGTACGTTTTGAAGCCCATCTTATTGGCTTCAATCGTGCGAAGATGGGTTTTTGAAATTGTTAGTTGTCTGGGCGCAACCCTCACGGATATGTTAAGGTTGCCTCCAAAAGATTTTTTCACGTTCCGTGTCAGTATGTTGGTCTCCTGACGGACAGGTTGACAAGGCAAAATTTTATATTTTGCATTTTCACAATCCTTATATCTGCATAATATATGATTAATTTTGTCCGGGGCATCCCTTGAAGAACGAAGTAGTCACGAGCCTTTTCCCGATCTGAGAAAATCACTTTTTCACACCAGTGGCAAACTAATTTTTCCACTTGTCCTAAACTTCGTGCTGTCATTTTTTAACGGAAAGAGATAATCAAATTCTGTTTTCGGTTTCAGAAAGCATATCAAATTTGCCAATTTTTATGCTTTTTAGATATTCAAAATTTACTTTTGGGTGGTTGAAAAAATAGGGTGAACCTTGACACTTTCATTGTGTGGACACTTTATATTTCCATACTTAATCCTCAAAAAAGAGTTGCGTTTGCCATGTTTAATTTAAATGGAAATCATTAAGGCGTGTTTCAGAATAGAGGTCGATGCTGCCGGAAGCTGGCAGCATTTTACATACGTAGGTATGCATGCGCTATGCATATAAATTGTATTTCCTATTAGGGGCCATCTATATATTACGCTTTGTCTCAAATGTAAGAGATAGAAATTGGATATTCTCTCATTCTGTGAGATGCTACTCGTGGGTCGTGATATTTTGTTATGTTATAGGTAATTTAATGCCACATGGCTCCACAAAGTTTCATTCAAAATACGCTACAACTACCCGAGATTTTATCATTCTCCCAAAATTAGTCAAATTGGGCTGTCTCAAAAGTAAGAGATAGGGCGTTTTTGGGAAATTTAATCAGTTAATTACTCAGCCCCTTGGCCAGGTCTCGACTTGAAATGTCAGTATTGGTCAAGATGCCAACCGGCAAACCTCTTTCCGACTACCAGTTGGGGCAGGTCGACCTTTTACGTGAGCAAGGGACGTCTCAATCGAGAATTTCTCAATTTCTCGGGTGTTCGCAAAGTGCAATTTCGAATTATCTTAATTCAAAGACCCACCAAGGCCTTGAAACAACTTCCTATGGTCACCCTAAGATTTTGACACCTCGGGATGAGCGACCAATTTGCAAACTTGCCGCAACAGGGCAGTAATCTATCAGAGAAATTCAATGGGAACTGCCGTTTACTGTCTCAAAGGACACCGTACACAGGTCCCTGACCAATAATACCGACTTGGAGTGGAGGAAAAATCTTACCCAGCCTCCCTTGACCCAATGCCACAAGGACGCAAGGCTGGAATTCGCCAGGAAGTACATGTCATGGGACAAAGAGTGGCAAAAGGTCATTTTTACGGACGAAAAAAAGTTAAATCTGGATGGACCGGATGGTTACTCGTATTATTGGCACCATCTCAAGAAGGAACCAGAAATCTTTTCTAAGCGACAAGCAGGTATGTCAGAAACCATTTTTGACCAGTTAGTTTTACAATAAACTACTTAATCATTAAATATAAAAATATTTTATTGGCTCATTAATAGGGGGTGGGTCTGTCATGCTTTGGGGAGGATTTGGGTACAATGGAAAGACTGAACTTGCGTCGATTCCACCAAGAACAGATTCCTAGGCTACCAAGGAGTCCTCAAGGCAAATCTCATTCGAGAACGTCCAAAAATTGGAGGGAGGGGTGGATTTTGCAGCAAGACAACGCTTCAATTCACGCTTCTCGCTCCACACTGGACTTTTTAGCGAGGAGAA